TTGTGTATGGAGGAGAAGGAGCAATAAGAAAACTAAAAAACAAAGTTAAAGACGCAAGCAGCAGCAAGAGGATGGAAAGAAAAAGAGGGGCCAACGACTACTACACGCAGCAGGAGGGAGGAAGACACCGCTGCAGCTGCGGTGTATAGACAGCTGAGCTGCTGCTGTCTCGTGGTTGGCGTATAAACCAACCACAATATACATAAATGCTTCAAACTGAATTGCAGGAGAAACAGCAGGCGCACAGGTGAGGCTGCAGGCTGGCTGGCGGCTGCTGTGCTGCTGCAGACTGAGACGGTGGTGTTGCTGCTGCTTGCGCTGCTGCTGCTGCTGCTGCTGCTGCTGCTGCTCGTTGGGGGTGTAGGGCGGGGTGTCTAGGGTCTCTGACCTTCGGGTAAGATTCTAGTATTGTTTGCTTGCAAACATCGGCCCTTTTGTTGCCACGCAAACATATGCATGCACTTTATTTCGTGCTGCAGCAGCAGCAGCAGCAGCACAGAGGAACAGCTGCTGCTGCAGCCACCCCGGCCGCCCCGCTGGTGGCGGGGTGGTGGTTATTAGGACAACTGCATGCTCGCAGAGCACCCCACTCATCTCTTGTTAAGAAATGAATAGAATAATAAATTATAATCATTAACATCAGCATGTAGGAGCTACGTATGCACCAAGAAAGACCTAAAAACACAACCAAAAATAAGTGGCGACGGGGAGGTATAGCCAGCCACCGATACCCTTGACCGGGTCGCCCCCCATACAGCATAAGACATAGATAACCATTGGTTCTCCATCTAAACAAAAACAATACAGAGAAAAGATGTATCTATACATGCAAAAGAAGATTATCTTCATACACACGGGGGCGCTTTATCTGTACGCTCGCAACGCCCCCTTCAACTGCCACAAGCAAAGCCAAAATATACAGACTAAGGAAACTGATGCCCCTGTACAGCGATGGGAATTTGTCTCCTCTAGATACGTGAAACCCTCCATTCTCATCAAGCGGCCAAGAGGGCCTGCATGCAGAACTCGTGCTGCAGGACAACCTGAAACTTCCTGGGGCTCGGCTAGTCTGACGAAAGCCCTTCAACTCAAACGAAGAAAGGCAAGACATGCACTGGAGTCAAAAGGCTTAAAGTACAAATGCACACAAAACAGCTGACTTCTCCTCCAGGTCCCCAGGGTTCGGGCAGAGCGGCACAAACTCCTAGGGCTGGCGCGGAGGGGGGTCGACATGCAATAAGCTGCAACGCACATTGATGCGAGTAATGCTGCAAGGCATATCCATGCCCACACACAGCAGGAGAAAGCTTGCATCTCCTGATTTTGACAAATGCGTCTTCTTAATAGCCAGTGACAATGACAAAGAAGTCGCGGTGATGTTTTCTCGCCAAGCCAACGACTCAGAGAAAAGTATCAAACAGTGGTTTGATACTGAAATCATTTCAGAAAAAGAGAGCATAAGTACGCGGCGAGTGGTAACAGGCGCTACGCTGCCTGAAAGTGTCAAAATTATCTATACGGCAGGCACATCACACCCGAACCCATGAGAAATCCCTGACACAGCTGATGACGGGCTTCCGTGACTATGACAGTGCAAGAGTTATTCGATAGCTTTTTCGGCTCATGCAGGACGGCTTCATGGTCAAGCATATCAAGGGTACCACCAATCTTGCTGCTGCTGCACACTCCTGGCGGTCTACGCATCACACACTCTCTTCTGTAAACGGGCTTGTCTGCGAAGATTCCTGTTTGCTTGCTAACAGGAATCTTCGCAGACAAGCGCGACACAAAACACTACCGCTTGTATATCTCCAGATATACAAACGGTAGTGTTTTGTGCTCAAATCGAAAATTGGGAACGGCTTAAGCAATACAGCATAGACAACGATATCTTGGGGCACCAGGCAAAACGCTAACTTGCCGATGATACATTCAACCTCCGCTTTGCAGAAGCGCTCTGCGTAAAATGCACATTCATGCTTATCGCGGTCATTGGTGGGGTGATAACAAAGGCGGAGAGAGTGGCCAAGCTTTTTGAGTGGCATAAGGCGCAGCTCTCAACAGGGTATATGTCCTGACTTGAGCGGAATCCAACCAGCAAAAGCCTCGGAACATTCTCAAGTCCAGACACTTGCAGAGTCTTCCGAATATTCATCGGGTATGGACGGATATCTCAAAGGATTTCTTAGTGGGTTTAGCCTCGTACAGAGGCTGTGATAGCACTTACATTGTTCGGGGTAGACTCAACAAGTCTGCTCACTTTATCGCCTTCTCAAGCTCAGCTACAGCAAAGGGCACGGCCCAATTATTAATTAGTCATATCTGGAGCTCCACACTTTCCCGAAACTATACTGACAAGGGCCCGTAGTACGCTGACAACTTCTGGCGCAAATCCATGACGTATCTTAATATCGAGCATAATATGAGATCGGCGAATCATGGGGAAGGCGATGACTAAACTGAATGGAACAATCGAACGGTTGTGAAGCGTTTGCGAGGTTGTAGCCAGAAAGACCCATCAAAGTGGCTTTCTTTCCCCCCTCTGTGCAGACTGTGTTGGCAATACAAAAGACCGCTCTTCGACATATTGTTTTCTGGCTTTTCTGAGCAATAAAGAAACAGTACTGTCTGATTTGAGGTTAAGTCTGGTTGCGGGAAGCGAGATTTCTGTGCCCGCATCTGCTGCGGTGAATACTCACTACAATCACGGCAACATTGCCGTGCTCGTTGTGAAAAGGCTGAGGGTTGTGTGAACAGTGGAAGTGTCTGTGAGCGCATATTGATGTACATTGAGTACAGCATTGGTGAAAACATTAAACATTCTTTATGAAGTGACCATTCATATGAGTATAGGGGTTCTATGGGTGCGCCCCATTGTACTCCTTCAGAGATACAACCTAGTAATACATAAAGCTAACTGCAAACATTTGTTCTAAAGAGAAATACTCTAAGTAATCTTGACCAGATCTCAGCATAGCATGTGAGGGACCGAAGGCTCTCCTCACGTCTCAATAGCTTACAGGGCCCGCAGTACCTCTAGCGTTATGGATTCGCATCACCCCATCGTGTAAGTGAACTTGTATCCCTACTAGACCTCACAATTGCGTTTTCCGTCTGCGTTTGTGTTCTCATTGGGGGCACACGACGCAGGATCTACTGAGGTGAGTGGGATCAAGTTCCCAGGAACGCATGATCCCTAAGGCCGTAAACTCCCCTTAGAGCTGCCCTTCTGAAGGGGAATTTCTCACATCTGCTGACTTCCATACATAGCTTGCGGCGGTGTTGTACTGCATGCAGAAAACAGAATAATGCTAAGCAACAAAACTACGGCAAGCACTCCCTTTTAGCCCAAACGTCTAGGTTTTTGTGGACTCCCACGCTCGTCGAAGCATGCAGGAAGGCCGGCTGCAGAAGTAGTTCGTCATGGGCTGGGTGGAGCCATCCGCTTTTTCTTCTCGAGATCAATCAAAATGCTTCCTCTATAAACCGAGGGGGTGAACGCGTTGGGTTAGGTAGTAGACCAACTGCCACTGAATTGACTTCCTCAAAGGTTTCAGGGATTTACCAAAATTTCCAGAACTCTCCTCACAAATGGGCAGCGGCGTCATCGGAGGAGACTGAAACGCTAGAAGTATGCCTGGCAGGCGCTACAGAGAACGCGGAGATTATGCTAGATGCCCAAGGTGCCCATCAAACGAGTGGGTTTCTAAGAAAGATCATGCGAAGCGATTCCTCAGGAGCATTTCTTTGCCCCCGTCCTTGCTTGTAGTTCGAGCTGGAAGCTACACTTTGGAACTTCCCCAACCCGTGCCCAGGCACAGCATGGCCTTTCCCACTTGCACAGCACATGGCGTTGTATCTGACCCGTTCTGGATGCCCCTGAATGGGCTCTTAGACAGGGACAATTGATAGGTAGCGGTGGAAGCATCTTAGTCCAGATGCTTTGCGAGGCCGGGCCCCAAACCAATCACACATCACAGAGAGTTGTAGCTGATCCGTGGCCATGCCACTGAGTGGGCTCGCAGACGAGGATAATGGGTTGGCAGTGGAAGTGGTATAGAGAAGTGCCATTGCTAGATGCTGCTTGCTCGCTTTTCCCTGTCAATTTATTTTTTTTCCTTCGACCGGTCACCCGAGGGCTTGCTCCCTTTGAGGGAGAGGGGGAGATCAAGTATAGCGAGGTCTACGTGCACCTCGCACATGTATCCCTACCTCCGAGCAGTCTCGCTGTAGGTGGTCAAGTCAGTGTTCAACAGTTCTCTACATTCTTAGTGCATGCAGCAGAGGGCCTGGCTGTGGTTGCGCGCGGAGCTAACTTGCATCGCTAGTTGCAGTTGCAGGAAGGTGCAACCCATGTCAGGGTGCCTCCCTTCGCACAATCCCGAAGCCGTTAAGCTGCTGCGCACAGGACGCTTGGAGATTGGATAGACGGTCAGCTGCCTTTGGGGAATACTTGAATATTTCAACTAGTTTGCCGCTCACGGCGGCTTTCGGATAATACCAAGGGCTCTCGTTACAGAGCTGCAATAAAGTGAAAGCACTCGAGTTTAGGTGTTCACCAATGCAGCTGATCCTGTGCATAACGGAAGAAGGGCCTGTAGCTGTTCTGGAGAAGTAGCGGTATGTGGTGAGTCGTGGCGTTCTCTGCTGCAACTTTTGCTGCAAGGCAGGCCTGCGCAAAGGCCTAACCAAGGCCCCTTCAGTGCGTGCAATAACTCCGTAGACAATTCATAAACACTGACTTGAACTTTATTAGCCGGTTTGCACGCAGAGCGGGCAAACAAATAAGCATCGGTCAGGACACCTTACACTAACTGATAGTCAGCCTGCAGTGTCTCTTCGATTGAATATGCAATACAGAAAGGAGTGTGAAAATAAATAACGATAAAAAAGAAACCCAAATAATAACTAAAGAAATACTCGCACAGACACGTCACAGCATGATGGGGGTCAACACCACGAACGACAGCCTAGGTTCTGAGTCGTATTGCGCCTGACTGCAAGAAATAAATAACCCAGAGAGAGGAGAAGTATTTTATATGTTTTTTGTGTTTAGCTATAAACTTAATTAATTACTGTCCTCCTCGTGCTGTATAACAGCGTTAAGTGCTTCAACCCCTGAGCCCTAGGGCCGCCTGCTCTCTCTTTCAGGTAACAGGTGTATACATTAAGATGCTAAAAGAAGAGGCAAGTGAGGCCATAATAATATTATTTAGAGATGGAAAGATAGCAACAAAGTTTTTTAATAACCCTCTTCACTAACCAGCTAGGCAAGAGAAGAAACAACACGAAGCGGGAAGAGGGGGGGGCCCACCACAGCCTCCTCAGCTTGCTGTCCGCGCGGCCTCTGCCGCAAAACCCTAAACCCTAAACCCTAAACCCTAAAGGAAACCATGAAAGCCGACGTTAGACCCCGGATTTGTTTCATAGTTTCAGTTACTGATTTTATTGCTAGCTCCACTGTCTCCGTTATTTTCGCTCTCTATGTTTACATGGGCCTCCTTGGTGCCGAAGAGCCTCTCTAGGGACCCAGGCCCCTCTGTCTACTGCCTTCTAGAATTACACAGGAGGAACCGAGGAGGTCTGTAGCATTACTGCTGCGTCTTTTCATTCATGTTCGCGGGCGCAGCTCCCTGCACCGCCTCTCGCCTTTCAACCGCATCACTTGCGGCTGCTGCTGCTGCAGCTACTGCTGCTGCTGCTGCTGCTGTCTTGTCGTTAGTAGGGGTTTTCTCAACACCCTGACCCAGACCGCATTCTCTCAAGCCCCATCTGTGCAGCCGCTGCGCACTGACGTCGGCCCTTTGGTCCCCTGGAGGCTCCACCAGCGTGGTCTCGCGGCTCATTCAGAGCCACAGCAGCAGCAGCAGCAGTAGCAGCGTCAGCAGCAGCAGCGCGAGCTGCAGCAGATAAAACATAGATAGGGTAGAGAGGCCGCGTCGCTGAAGAGGGCATAGGAGGCATCCAGGGGTGACAGAGGCTTGGTGGTGTCTGTAGACGCTGCTCATAGTGAAATACCGAGTCCAGCGAGCGTGCTTCTTGTGTTTTTGTCTCTTTCTGCCTCCTTTTCATCTTGATAAGGCTGAGAGGGTAGTGTCTCCTCCGTGTGGGGACGGAGGGGCGTCGGCCCATCTGAGGTGTCTGTACACCTCACGCGCGTTTCTGTTGCTGTGTGCATCGCTTTGCATTTTTGCTTGGAGTTATTTTTGTGGACGGAATGTCCCTTTGGTGCGACGCAAAAAAAGAAGCTTCAGGAGAGCCCTTGCCTGGGGTTTGCGGTGACCGTCCATCAGCAAGTTGTAGCTCGGGTGTATCGGCATGCAGCGACAGCAACAGCAGCAGCAGCAGCAGCAGCAGCAGCAGCAGCAGCAGCAGTGCATGCAAGGGTGAGGGTGTTGGTGCCGATGGATCCGTTGGGCGTTGTTCCTCGTCTGCACTGGAAATATTTCTTCACGGTGCTCCTCTTCGTTGTGTTGAGGCTGTAGCTCGATGCCTGGATGTTTGTTCTTTTCTGAATCTTTTATCTCTGAATTCTTCTCTTCTTACACTCTGCGACACCCCAGCTCTTCTCCCCTGCTGGACACACTTTGCGCTGCATCAGCGCATACTTCGTCATGGGGAGAACGTGTTGCTCCCGCTCCTCTCTCCTACCTGTTCTCCTATACTCAGCAGCAGCAGCAACAACAACACAAGCACCAAGAACAACGTGAACAGCAGCAGCGGCACCTACGGCAGCGGCAGCAGCGGCAGCGGCAGCGGCAGCAGCAGCAGCAGCAGCAGCAGCAGCAGTCGTAAAGGGATAAAACATGAGGAGACGAAGCAGGTTCGATCGTGGCAGACATTCAACAGACGTTTGCCTCAGGTCTCTCGCCCTGACTTGCTGCGTATTGGTAGCCTGAACTCGAACTGGCGCTGCGGAAATTTTGCTGCTGAGCAGAGATATATTGTTCCTTACTCTGAGGCTATTGATAAAGCATTTGTTCTTCCTTCTCCTCCTCTTGGCTCCTCCTCTACTTTTTATTCTATAGCCCCAGATGCACCCCTCAGCCTGCATGCACGGCCATCTGTGGGGCTGCCTGCGAGCTTCAGTGCTGCTGGGGGAACTCATCTAGCGGGGAGATCTACAGAGCCATCTCCGCTGTTTCTTGTTCTACCGAGCGGCCGTGTATTTGTAGTGCATGCAGCAGCAGCAGCTGCAGCAGCAGCAGCAGCAGCAGCAGTACGTGCTCTCCCTAGACGATGCTGCGTTGAGGCAAAACTCCCTGTCCTCCCTCTCTCCATACCAAGAGATGCAGAGCCTCTTATTCAGTTCGGTGCATTCGCACCGAAAGGCTGGCTGCTAGGAGAGGACGAGCTGAGCCCGCTGCAGCCGCAGCCACAGCCGCAGCAGCAGCAGCAGCAGCAGCAGCAGACGCAGTATTCTGCAGATGCCTCTGCGGGCTCCTCTTTTGCGGGCGCTTGCTCGGGGCACCGCCTCCCCCAGTCGCAACGCAGGCGGCAGCAGCGGCTGCAGCGGCAGCAGCAGCAACATAGATTGCATATAAGCTGGGCTCATCTATCGTCGCATCCTCTGTACCCTTGTCTTGGGGATAGCATGCGTGATGAGGGCCCCCAAAGAGGGGCCCCCCTCGACAGCTCTCTGGGCATCTTGCCGCCGGTCTCCTCTGTGTCGGCCTGCAACAGCAAACCCTCCCAACTCCCCCGTAGCAGCAGCAGCAGTAGCAGCAACAGTAGCAGCAGCAGCAGCAGCAGCAGCAGCAGCAGCCATAACGCACAAAACGCTAACAGTGGCATCGGGTACTGCCCTCAGGTTCGTGTGCTGTCTCTTTGTCTCCCCC